GACTATATATATATATATATGTATATATATATGTATATATATATATATATGTTTGTGTAAGTAGAAAGAATATAAAGCATTTCTTATGTGATCCCTGTGTCCTTGAGAATGCTGAGCAAACATTAAAGTGGGCTTTCTGAGTGCCAGTGAAGGAGATTCTTTTGGAGAGGGAAGATGAACTCTACTGAAAACAAAGCAGAACAATGAAGCATTCTTATACTCCCAACTCCATTCTTCCTTTTCATGTTTTACTTTGCCTTCATATAAAATAACACACTCCAGCCGCATTAAAATTGAGATCACAAAGCATCCTTTTCATCCCTCACTGCCAAAACTCCTCGCTAATAATAATTAGTCACTCTTGGTCTCTTGCCAGCAACTTAATAAATACTGAAACAGCTTAGGGCCTCAGCTGCATCCACAGCCACAGCAAGGGGAAGATGGGATCCTGAATGAGATTTGCTGAACAGCGTGAATGCAGTAAGGCTACCCTGTTGGCTATTAATGAAGGGCCACTCGGTATGCATAATTTATGCTGTATGTGTGTAGAAATGATTATTCATTAGGTCACATTTAGTCTTATGAACTTTAATTCTATATCTGACTCAGAAAACTGCTATGATAGCATAATAACATTTATTAATGAAACTCTCAAATGTTTATTTTTTTCCATGTTATATAGGTATGCTCCTCTGGTTAAGGTAAATGATTTGTATTTCTGGGTGAATGATGATTCCTAATATTCAGTGTCTATATAGTACAGCAATGTAGATGGTCTTGAACGAATATAGTCCTCGTTAATATAATGTTTTACTGAGTGAGTAAATTCTTCTACTTGGTTTGCAATGTTGTTTACTCAGCTGGAACTGGGGAACATTTGGGAGATGTGTGGAAACCTAGTACAGAGACAGCTTCCTGGAATGTATGAAAGTGACCCTTAGTGAGAACTTGTAGTAATGGAGGATGCAGAGTCTGAACCGGCTATCTTTTGTAGCCAAGCAATTCTTCCAGTGCTAAAACAGGGTGTCAGTCAGTCGAGTTGAGCCCGAGGGGGATCTGTGGAGATCACCACACAACCCAGACTGATAGTAAGACAGAAGGTCCCTCTCTGAAACCTGGCAGAGTGGTCCTGTTGCTACAGACAATACCCACACAACTCATTGAATATAGAGATGTCGAGCTGGTCCTTTCATGGAGCCTTCATTTCTATATTCTAGTCTCTAGCACAGGAAGGCACTTTGCAGGGTATAGAAAGAGAAACCTGGGTACCAACCCAGCCACAAAACCCTCCACTTATAATTTGTTCTTCCTTCACAAAGTGTCGGGCCAACGGTGGCATAGAGCTTGTGGGAGAGTTAAACCAATGACTTTTTTTTTTTTAAATTGAGGCCTGGGTCAGAAAAGAGAACCTATGCTGAACCCTGCCTGGAAGGCCAAGAATTGTAAACTGTATATCCCAGGGACCTAGCATGGAACTAAACACAACTGGCAAAATACAAAAAAAAAATTTGATTCCTTATGATATCTGCTATCCTCATAGATCAGTGCCTTGTCCAGTCATCATCAGAGACACCTACTCCAGCAGCAGATGCAAGCCCATGCAGAGACCTACAGCTAGAGAGAAAGAACCTATGTAGAGAGAAACAGTCTAAATGAAAGTCTCCTTCGGGGAACCATATGGAAGATGGGGAGTAAATATTGTAGGGGTCAAAGAGGGACACCAGGAGGTAATAGTCCACTGAATCAACTAAGCAGGGCTCATGTGGACTCTCAGAAACTGAAGCAGCAAACGCAGGGCCTATACGGTCTGTACCAGGTCCTCTGCATATCTGTTAGGGCCATTATCTTGGTGTTTCTGTGGGACTCTTAACAGTGAGAGTAAGTGTATCTCTGGCTGTTATGCCTGCACTTAGGATTCTTTACTTCCTATTGCGCTGCCTTTGTCCAGCCTCAATATGAGGGCTTTTGTGCACTCGTATTATATCGTATTTTGTCCTGTTTGGCTGTTGTCTCTTTCCTGGAGTAAAACAGGACAGGAGTGGATCAGGGGAAAAGCTGGGGGTGGGGTTGGCTGAGTGGAGTGAAGGGTGGGGAAACAGTGATAAAGATGTACTGCATGACAGAAGAATCTGTTTTCAATAAAATAAAAAAAAATAAAAAAAGTTCACAGAGCATATAACTGAATTCCTACATAGGTGTTGGTCATATTACATGTTTTTGAAGAAATACTGCATGATCATACAACAGAATTATTTTTCAAAGCTTCCAATTGGCTCAGGGAGAGAACATTTCCTTGCCTTGTATGAGAAGGAAAAACCTTCCTTGCTTTCTATTCATATTTCTAAGGGTAGAATAGAATGATTTAATTAATTATCAGAAATAAAGTAAAAAATAAAGAATTAGACTTTGCAGGCTATAGTATTTCTTCACAAAATTCCCATTTACTGGAAAAGAAAAGGAGAAGCCATCGTCACGTGCTTCAAATCAGTGGATTAATCTGATTTATCAGCAGTTGGCTTAGGTTGGAGCATTCAGCCGATCATACAGGCCAATTAGAAACTCCTGTTTCTTATCCTCAGTTCCAAGATGAACTCTAAGGAAAGAAACATTTCCTTTCTCCAGCCTCCCACTCCAACTGGAGTCAAATATCATCCACTGTTATATGGCAAATGCAAACACAGGAACCATGTTTGAATGTGTCTTATTGCATACATCGTGTAGGGTCCTGGGCTTCCTTTCCTAAAGCGAAATCAAGCCAGATGAAGCTTTGTTTGCTTTTTTTTAGTTTTAGGTGGTTTCTTCAGAATGGCTTCTCTTGGACAGAGGTTGACTTTGTTTCACACAATTACTACACACACACACACACAAATAAGTCATGAAGACATGTCTTTTTAACTAGTGTATCTAGCTTAGTTTCTGAGTCATTTCACAACTATGAATCATGAGTTAAATGAACTAATTCTCTTCATGAATTTTCTTGGCAATCATTTCGTAGACCATCTGAGAAACTAAAATTTTAATTCACAACCATATTTCACAACAGTGAACTGTGTCCTGACTGGTTTTGCGTGTCAACTTGACACAAGCTAGAGTCATCAGAGAGGAAGGAGCCTCATTTCAGGAAATGCCTCCATGAGATCCAGCTGTAAGGTATTTTGTCATTTAAGTATCAATGGGGGAGGGCCCCGCCCCCACCCACGGTGGTTGGTGCCATCCCCGCTCTTAAGGTACTGTTTCTTCAAGAAGGTGGACTGGGCAAGCCTTGGGAAGCAAACTAGCAAGGAGCTCTACTCCATGGCCTCTGAATCACCTCCGGCCTTCAGATTCTAGCCCCGCTTGAGTTCCCGTTCAGAAGTGCTCCAATGATGGACTATGTTCTGGAAATCAATCACTGGACTTTTTCCTCTCCAACTTACTTCTGCTCAGGGTGTTTTGTCATAGTGGCAGAAACGCTAAGACAATAGGTGTAGAAACTGTCAGTCTTCCTTGATTGATAGTGAAACTTGAATTCTATTGAAATATTAGCAGTCTGGATGTTGAGCAAAGAATCAACACAACACAATCTGTAATTCAGAACGTTTATTGCAAGAGCTGAATAATTGTAAATAACGTAGAACTGGCAAAGCAGTAACAAGGATAATTGTTTAGATATTTATTTTGTCAAAGTCATCAAACACCCCTCACAAACCGACAAAAATGTACTTCAGTAAGCAATGCACCCCTACCCATTATTTTCCATTATACTGTGGAAAAACGTGAACTGCTATTTACAAAGTAACTTTATTTTTGGTAAGAACAAATTAACTATCAGATTAGCAATTTTTTTAACTTTTTTCTTTTTTTTTTAACTTTTAAGTTGATGGTGAACCGTGGCATTAATATAACTTTCACTTCTTTCAATAAAGACATTTTGTTGCATGCTATTTATTTGTTTAAATCATCTGTCATGCCTTAACAAAAACCTCCTAAGAATGTTCAAATTTGGATTTGTTTTGCACGTGCAACTGAGATCTTATTAACATTAACTGTCACTCCCTTGGTTTGAGCTAAGTGACAAATGCTGGTACCTGCCAGGCATTGACCAACTATGATAACAAACAGTTAAACAGCAATAATTAGAGATTTATCCCTTTATTTTCCCCAACTACCCTACCTGGAGAATGTTCTGTTACATCATGAAGGCACAACACATTAAATATTTTGTGGCTATGGTCTAATAACACTTGTGTTACAACAACAGTATTGTATATGAGGATCAACACAAACTCTGTCATTTCAACAAAGTTGGAGACACACATTTGCCCAATTGAAACTATTTTCGAGTAGTGATTTTTTTCTTCAGTATATGCTAATTTGAATACATTAGTTTTGCAAGAGTAGCAAGTACAGAATATTATATCACATTTGATGGATAACACTTTCTCATCACTTTCTCACTTAATGGTACTAATTAAGTGATTTTGCTTTTTGCCTACTTTGAAAATGAGGATATCAAATGGAGATTCTGAATTTCCAAGCGTTTACAGGAGTATTGAGTGCTGCGATTGTTTGAAGTTTTTATTTTTTTCTCTCATCTTTATATTTTTATAGAGTTCTAATATCATAAGTTATCATATAAGAAGTGAAATTTCAGAACCTTTTTAAAACACAAATGTTTACAATCCTTAGAACAATGTGTGCCACGACAGACTACTAACGCAGAAACACCTCACTGAAAGAAACAACAGAAATAAGAGGAGGGAAATTGAAAAAGGAAAGAAGCAACCATCAACACAGAATTATGCTACAACATTTTTAGGTGAATGCTATAAGTACACAAAAAGTTGTTAATAATAGCTTGCTTCTATTTACAGATACTTTAACACTGATTGACTTACAAGTGTCCACTAACGGTGTTAACAGCACAAGAGGTTTAATGCTTATTTTTAAGTTCTGTTTGAAGTATAATGTCAAGTATAGAGGTCCCAGCATAAATCAATGGCAAAAAAAAAAGAGCACAAATTTCTAACTGGATATGTTTTGTCAGTCACTCCAATCCATGGAACCATCTTACTCTCCAAATGCATATTCTATTGTTCATAGCAGCAGTCCAGGGTCAAATAAAATGCAATAATAAAAATAAATTGCACAATGGAGAGAGCTCTGGAGAGTTTAATCAATTCTAGTAAAGAACATCATCACATGGCTACTAGAACTATTTTCTCTCCTATGTTGCAAAGCATTGTATCCTCCATGGTGCTAACACAAAGTTATGAGTTCCCTACTATAAGGGGCATAGTTGTAGAGATCTATTGAATACATAAAGCTCCAACACACAGTATTAGCATGTCTATTTAGATTAAAGGTACTAGGTCCCATACAACTTCAGCTTAAAGTTGGTGCTCCTTAGGACTCTCAATTGTGCCACCTGCTTGCTTATAGGACTTCAGATTTGCCAGAGGAATGTCTGCCATGTGGCTGCCATTGTTGAAATGGCCTTCATTGGAGCCATACTGCTTACGGTCATTGAACTGGTTCCTGTTGGTGTCTTCTTTCCACGCTCTGGTCAGGGTGTGCCCATTCACAAGCTTGTCTTTCTTGACCCATTCTTTCTGGGGTGCAAAGGTCGACAGAGGAGATTTCGGGTGTTGATATGGACCCAAGCCAGGAGGCATCCAGCAATTATCAGAGTGACCCAAAACCAGACACTCTTGAGTGCACATCTCCGTAGCTTCAGCTAATCCTCGGGGACCCAGAGGTCCATCTGTAGAAGACAAGAGAGAGAGGAAGCAAGGGAGAAATTGGTTAAAATTCTCCTTCAAAGTATTTTCATAGTAGAAATAGAGTGATGATCTTATCTTTTCATGAAGCAAACCATTCAGCGATATTAGTCTACAGGTTTTTTAAATGAACATAAAGCAAATAAACTCTCTGCTATCAATGAACAAAGTGTCCTTTATTTTTTCACCCTTTGCCTCAATATAAAAAACAATGAAAAACAAAAAGATACATATGGGTAAACAGATACAACTGATCTTGATTAGTGCTAAGGCATAAGAATCATTACAGATTTATATATTAAAATTTATAGGGATATGTTTAAACTTATGAGAAATTTAAAAAGATATTATGAATTAGGGAATGTAAATTATACAATTCACAGAAACAAAAATTAAATATAGTACTTGAAAAACAATATCATTAAAACTAAATGCTGTAAATAATTACATAAAACTGTTTTTCTATGTTGTGTCTTCCTATTTTGCTGTATGAAATTATATGGAAATAAGTTTTAAATATTTTGTAATGAAACTAAATATTTGTTTTCATGGCCTTCATGACTAAATGTAAGAAATCTATTTGTAATCATTCTAAAACACAAGTAAACATAAAGCCATTTTAACTGATGTCCATATTTTGATTTTATGCCCTCATCTGCATTCTAGATTTATAATGCATTTAAGTTAAAAATAACCTGGATGTGGTAATCCTTGAGTATAATTTTAGCTACATTAGAGTCCAAATATTTATGTCTGTATTGGCAACATACTCAGACCACACATGCAAATAAACAGAAGAGACAAGCCAGGCAGTGGTGGCGCACGCCTTTAATCCCAGCACTCGGGAGGCAGAGGCAGGCAGATCTCTGTGAGTTCGAGGCCAGCCTGGTCTACAAGAGCTAGTTCCAGGACAGCAACCAAAAAGCTACCGAGAAACTCTGTCTCTAAAAATCCAAAAAAAAAAAAAAAAGAGAGACAAGCAAACATAGAAACATAGAACAAAGGCCAGGTTTCAAACCATCACATTGATGCTACAATGCTAATTGAATTACATGAATCATAATATTCAAAGAAACTTTTCGTCATTTGATATCTTTATACTTTAACTTGTGTTTTAAAAGTAAATTGTTTATTGAAAATGGATATTTCATCCTTTAATGAAAAACAATAGACAAGTAGTTAGGGAACAATATGTGTTTTGTGTGTGTGTGTGTTAGAGAATGAGTGTGTTTTAAACTGGTATTTTACATTTTATTTAATGGTCAAGAGATAAATGATCCTTTGAAAAGGAGGAATCAATTTTATTGAAAGAGATTAAACATATAGGCAAGAATTCTTAGGTATGAAACCTTTTAAAAGTAGAGTCAACTTAGCCTGGTGACAACCTCTGCAACCGTAGCCCATGAGAGATAGAAAAAAAGAAAACAAGAATTAAAGCATAGCATGGGCTGTAGGAGACATTTCTTCAAAAACAAAACCAAAAACTAAACAAGAGAAAGAAAGCAAGGAGTCACCAAAAAAATAGAAAAAGTACTAAAATATATTTTATTATTCCTAGAAGACAATTAAAAATTACAAGGCAATAATTGGAATTAAGTATTTGTTAAATTTATTTTAGCAGTGTTATTTTTTTAAATGCTCAGGATTTCAGGTGACCTGGATTCTTTTCTGATTTGATGATTCCATTGCATGTGATGAATTACTTGCTGAAATGGTGACAGTTAATGGTAAGTAGTAAGCCCACAGACCACATGCTGAACAGGTTGGAGGACGTATGTAGACAGCCATGGCTGATAACACTATTCCAAAACACTCACATTTGGTCACATTTCTGGACTTAAAAATCTGCTTTTGAAAATGACCTTCAAATTTGTTCCCATATGACCTATACTCTCATCTTCTCAAAAGCAAACATTTTTTCTGATATTCAAACATACATTCATGTCTTAAAACTACTTCTCTGAAATCTCCAATGATGACTAACTTCTTTGGATATTTAATTTAAATTTTCCTATGAGCCTTTCCCCTCCTCTCTAGCCCAGCCACACTTTCAAAGTTCAAACTAATTTCTCACTTTTAGGTTTGCTGTGGTGTACTTAGTGACTCTGCAGCCACAGAGTTAACACATTTTACTTAAACCAAAGCCTGCTTCTTGCAAAAGGAGCATGAGCTTGCAGCTGCCTTTTGCCTGGCCTGTTTTCATTTAATTACTGGCTCCTTCAAGGGTCATTTCTGTTCCATATTCCCCAAGCAAATTTCTATGACCTCACTGATCCATCTGTAATAGGCACCTTGTAAGTTCTACACATCATCTTTCTTTTTGAGAGTAGCAAAATTTCAGAGCACTCTCCTCCAATTTTTTTTCATTTATGTCACTTTTTTTTCTTTAGGGGAGAGTTGCATGCATACATGAACTTTATTTTATTTTATTTTGTTTCGTCCCAAGTTGCTGAAAAATCCACTGATGCAGATGTAAAGGAACATGGCAAATCAGTTTTCAGCTTCCTTAGCAGCGCTAAGCAATTAGCAGCAGTTCACTGTGATGATCTATGAACAATGCTAATTGTTAATTAAAATTTTATGAGGTTGAAAATGTTCGGAGAATTATTAAAGATATCCTCTGCTTAAAGGCAGACCTTAAGTAATTAGGATAGAAGATGCTGATTTCACAAACCTCACAACGAAAGATCCTCAACAGCAAAGTCTTTTGCCCAGAAATGCTGGGTGACGGCTAATAAATGAATTATTTAACTTCTGTTAAATATATTCACTCCATTTAGAGATCAATGGAGATAAACCGGTGAAGCCTAATTTTGATGTGTTACATATCTTGGAGGCAGCACAGCAACCTTTAACCTTTACTTTTACAGTTTCAATTAATTGGATACATTTTTCTTTTCTTGAATGTTACAAGTTACCTCAGAAATGTCAATAGCATTAAGTTTTCATTGAACCCCTAAAAGGAAACCATATAAGTTTTATTTTTAAATTTGCCTCACTCAATATCCTGTGTCTATAATTATGTGTGAAACTCAAGTTCGACACATTGATTCACTTTAACAGAGTACTTTTTTTCCCTCCCTCTCTCTCTCTTAGGATCAATGTTTATTATTCTGTAAAAGTGGGCTGAGCACTAACCATACAAGGCACTGTGAGAGGCACCTGCAACAGAGCAGTTAACAAAACAAATACCCACACTACAAGGTAGAGCTCCCATCTACCTTGGATTTAACGGTCTTTAGAGCCTTGGGTTTAGAGGGTAGAAATGGGTAACATTGTGAAGGAAAGGGGATAAGTTAATAGATTTAGAAATGCTCGTCTCTCTACAGAGTACCAGGTCAATTTTTATTCTCATTATATAATTTTTCTAAGATCCTGAAAGTTCTTAAAGGAAGTTGGAAGATTAAGACATTTATGAGAGTTAAAATTTTCATATATTACACAGTCCTTAGTTTTCAAAACAAGTGAGTCTTTACATTAAGTAATATAATTTTTTTTCTTCAAGAATTCTACCAGGTATGATATATTCTTATAAAGGAATGTGAAGAATCAGATAAAGATTATAAAAAATTGTAGAACTTTTATATATTAAGTAACTTTTTAGTGGACCATCGATCATCGGGGCATGCACATAGTGACACATGGATAGATGATAGGCAGGTTTTGTTGTTGTTGTTGTTGTTGTTAGATTTCCCATAAAGAGGAACCTAAATGGAAACACACAAAGAGTTGATCTGAAAACAAGCGTACCAAGGAGCTAATGCTCTTGGAGAGATGCCTGTGGATAGTCAGAGGACATTTGCTAAGCATTAGTGGTTCATTCTGAATAGAATTATTTAAATAATTCTCAGGTATCAGCACATAAATGCCATAACATATAGTTACCCTTATAGTGAGAATTTTAAAGAGAAATCGAAAAAAATGGATTAAGCTACTCAAGAAAAGGAAACACACAGTGGTGCTAAGGCTAACTAATCATGAAATAGCAAGGAGAAAAGAAGAAATGGAGGGAGTTAGGAAGGAAGAGAGAGAGAGAGATGGAAGGGTAGAAATAGAAGGCTGTGGATAGAATAAACTGAAGAAGAGGAAGGCTGGGAAAAAGAGGGAGTAGAAAGAAACATATTAAATCAATTTGTTGCATGATTGGCTTTGTTGGAAATTAGGAGGTGTTTTATCCTTCACAGTGGTTTTTGGGGGAAGGATGACATAAGAAAAATGATTATTCATTTTGGGCATATAAATTCAGAGGAAATGAGAAACTGGACACAAACTGTCCTGAATTATATAGTAGAAATTAAAAATATTTCCATATTTTCTCATATGTAATTGTTGCAAATTGGTTGTAAGAAGAATGGTAATTTGAGGATGAGTGTGTATTGCAAGGAGTATACCATGCACTTATGATTATCGCTGTCTTTGCTTATGCTTGTTATTGGACACAGGTGTCCCAATGCCTCTTTAAATGACGATCCTATGTTACAGTGTTAGAAGGCTGAAAATCTCACTGACTAGGTGATAGGTGGTGTTCTTTTTTAAAAATGTAGATTTAATAATTTTTTTTATATGTATGAGTGTTTTGTCTGCATGTCTATTTGTGCACCAAGTAAGTTCATGCCTGGTGCCAACAAAGTTCAGAAGATGGATCTTAAATTGCCAGACCTGGAGGTACAGAGGTTGAGAATCACCATGTGGTTGCTGACAATGGAGACAAGGTTAATCCTTAAGCCATCTCTCCAACAGTAGATTGTAATTCTTTATCTTTGGCAAGTATTTTATTCAAGTATTATTTTAAATTGTACAAACGTTTGGTACAGTTTCCTTTACTCATTGTTTGGATTTTTCTCAGTGTGTTTATTTCTCAGTCAGAGGACAACTGCAAGAGTCATCCATTAGCTGGGCGGTGGTGGCACAGGCCTTTAATCCCAAGCACTTTGGAGGCAGAGGCAGGCGGATCTCTGAGAGTTCGAGGACAGCCTGGTCTACA